AAAGCCAAGGCTTTCGAGGTCAATGTTAGATGGTTTACTAAAAAATCAACAAATGAAAGAGACAAGCATCAGAATGACCTTGAATCTTTCTCAAGGATGGACCCAAGAAAAAGAAATGAATATATTGAAACTTTTGGGTAAAAATTTAATTAAAACGAGATACCCATAATGTGTAGTAAAAGCAATTTCATGTATATTATATAGTAATTATGATTCTCTAAAAAGGTCAGAAACCTGATATTGATTGGTGTGGATGCTTTAAAGATAGTACAGAAGTAAAATATTAGTACACAGAAGATGAAATTTCAGGGTTCACTCAAACTCAGACTATCAAAAAATCTTTGATATAACTAGCGAACGAATAATTTTTCTTTAATTGAATATATTAAAGAAGTATTTCAATTCCATTCATACCATTGAGTAACTGTCTTTATGAAGACTTATAAATTGTTATCAAAAGTGAAGATGAGATCGTTTATAATTTGGTACATAATGTGCGAGAGCAGTTATATTATGCTGAATTCCATGATGATAAACATTATTAAGACTTTGCCAGGCATTGTACGGTAAAAGCAATAAAGAAAGTTAGTTCAGAAGCTAGTTCAACCAGAAAAAAGTATTGATTTAAAATAATATTCTTTATAATTCCACAATTTATTCAGCATCAAAAGAAAATTAAAAGGAATAAAACCATTAAGGTAATCATGGAAAGAAACAAGAGGCAACAATTGACGTCATAGGGATATCGAGTCTTTTTAAGATTTCTCTTATAGGGTAATGAGTGATTGATATGATTATATCTTTTACCATAATTTAATTATTTTAAATTAAAAATATTTAATATAATATCTATTTAAAAATATAACTAGAAACCGCTATTTACAAACAACATGTATATGAAGAAGTTATTCTTGTTATAAGAATATGAAAGAAAATAGATGATAGTAGAAAGGTTATTAATTGATTTACAGAAGGAATTCTAATTAAAAATCTGAAATTGTCAAACCGTCGAAAATCGTCGAAACTATCGACTTTTGCCAAATAGGATTAAGATTTTGTCCTGCAGCCTTAATGTCTTTAAAGATCATCGTATCATTAAGTATTTGATTTTGTTAAATAATTCCGCTGAAAGGCAAATATTAATACAAATAAATCGCATTTAACAGCTTTAATTAATTTAAAAGTGACACTTTATTAATTGTAAATTATTCATTAGATTTTCTTGTTTCATATACTTTCTTTTAATATTAAACAAAGGAGTTGAATGACTCTTATCATAAAAAGATGGTGCCCTGTACTTTGTTGGTCATATATAATTCTGAAGTTGAAGGTGTATGGAATTTGGAGAGATGCATAAATGAATACTTGCAAAGTTTTGAAAATTTAATGGTGAAAAGCATTTTTAAGAGATAAGCATTGCTGCTACTTTAAAAGCAAATCAAATTGTACCAATTCCATGTTTATATGTAAAATCCAATTACAACAAAAAAAAGCTTTAAGCTGGAACTTTACTTTAACTTGCAAATACTCCACCAAAAGTTATCAATAAAAACATATTTAATACTAGCATCACATTCAAACTGTCAATGCATAACCTTACAAGGTATGTTTTTTATTTCCAATAATTTTTTTATGATTAATAATTTATGTGCGTGATTTTCTAATCTCACCTTTTTTAAAAAAAGAAAATTGGATTCTTATCAAAGCACTTGAAGAATATTTCTTAAGAATGATAAAGTATATTACTATATTTCTAAAAAATAAATGTATCATTAAAGGTAATTTATTGCAATGCTAAAGTGATGTACAAGAAAGTTTTAAAGTAACCTATAGAATAATAAAAGTGAACAAGATAGATCAGTATAAACATTTTTCCTAATACAATATCAGAAGAACATTTATTTTATACTTGTAAGTATAGAAAGCTAACCTTGATAATAGTATTTATATTAGATTGCTTCAAAAGATGAGCTGTCTTTCTATTTAATAATTTAGGTAGCAGGCTAAATAAAATAGATAATCTTTTAAAAGGACTAAATAGTTATCAATAGAATACTACCTTATTATGAAGACAAATTAGTAAAGGAATTAAGATTAAATCAAAATATAATGATAGGATTAATACAAACCAATCCCTTTGATTTATTAAAAGATATATAACAAAAGTAAGTAATTAATCATCAAATTTTCAAATCTTACAATCTTTTATCATATTTTATAGCTTGTGTGAAAATTGAATCAGAGAAATACATTTAGCATTATTTTTTGTTTATTTATTATTTTCAGAAAAGTCTATTATTTGACTATGATATATAGTTAGTGTTTGTCATAAGAAGAATTTTAAGCAATAATAATACAATCTTGATTACAAAGATCTAAATATAAGCAATAACTTTTACACTGTAGATAAATTTCTTGATACATAAAAGAAAAAACTTCAATTGCTATTTTTGTAAATAGATATTCATAAAAATTTAGTCTATTTATCAAATTATTAGCAGAAAATCTTAAAGAATACAAATAGAGATGCAAAGATATTAATTAATAGAATTGTAATTCATCATGTTCAAAGATTACTTATCATATGGCAAAAAACTTTAAAATCTTTAGACCTATAAGAATAAACTAAAGGATGCAAAGATCTATAAAATATTTTAAATAAATTATTTAGATACTGCAGACTTCCATAATTCAATGCACTCAAAAAAATTTTAATAAAAAATCTTTACTTATTTATTTGACCTATACAAATTGAAACGATTTAACTCAAAAGAAATTAATTTAAAAAAATTGTAAAGAAACAAAGAAATCTCATTCTAAGAAATATAAAAATAACTATATAACAAAATGATCAGAACTAACATAATCTAAGAAAAAAAAGATTCCTTTATATTAAAAAAAATAAATTATCGATTATTGCAAAATTTCAAAAAATGAAAAAAGATTCACTGCTATTCAAAATAACTAAACCTAAAACTAAAATCAATTTAAGAATAAATAATACATCTGTCTGATACTACTAATACTACAAATACTAATCCATTAAAAAAGTCTAAAGTAAATTATAAAATTTAGAATAAATTTTTATTATCAGCAAACTTTAGCTTAAATTTAATTTTTTGATTGAAAATTTGATAAACATAATATCAATTAATAATAAATTTTATATAAATAATAATCCATGTTTTTTAGATGATAAATCAAAAACAGCTTTCTTTTCAATAATTTTAGCATTAACAAGATTATATAAATTATAATTACAAAGTTATAAAGTATTTATTTACATTAACTATAACTTTCTATATTTAAAAGATATAAAATTAAACTATATATTAAAACTTAGTTTTATAAGTTAAATATTGAATGGTACAATAGGAGTATCAAAATTTATGAGAAGCATTAAATTAAAAAATTGATAGAAAAAAGTTCTTTCAAATTAAACTATTTATTTTATTAATTAAATCAATTTTTATAAAATAAGTAAAGATGTGTTTTATAATAAAATACATATGTGTTAAAGTTTTTATAAATATCAGATCAGTAAAATCTTCATATATTAATACAAGATTTTAGTCATAATAACCTATTATATTTCATTAATATAACTTGTTTATTGATATTAAAAAATATTTTTTTCTTTAATGAATTTTAATTATTATCCTATCAAAACTTTTTATCACCTGTTAAAATTTTATCTTTAATAAAAAAATTTAACAAAATGTTTTGATAGATTTCAATTTTAATACCTGTCAAAACCTTTAGATTTTTCCTGATAACTTTGATATTATTTAATATATATAACAGCAAAATGAACAGAAAGAATAAATACTAACAGATTTTTAATATTGGCATAATGCTACATTCAATCAATTAAAAGATGCAATTTGAAATAGTTAAATTATAGATATTCTTAAATGTATCTGGATATAGATTTTTAACCTGTATCTCATGTATAAATAAATTTTTTAAAGTAAATATCACATAATAAAAACAGAGACTTTACTCTCAGAATAGTATAAATTTAACCTTAAATGATTTTGATCAATTAGGTGATTAATATCATGTGAGATATTTGAAAATCAGTTGAGATTTATATTCAATTAAACAGAGTTTGCAGTTTGCGAAAGATTTCATTTTTTGTTTAGCATTAAATAATTGATCATGTAATCAATTCAATTAAACTTTAAAATTTCATTTATGATAAATAAAAATATAAAATCAAATTTTTGAAAATATTTAATTATATTGATAAAAAAGAAGTTTAATTTTTATTAATTAAATTAATTTTTCTAATTTAATTTTCTTTGCAGTTAATTTTTTTTTTAATTATTTTTATTAATTTTTATTTTAATTTGTATTTTATTTTAATAATTATTTTTTTGATTTTTAGATTTAATTTTTTTTGATTATAGATTACATTATTTTTTCTAATTTTTTTAATACATACAATTTTATTAATAGATTTTTTAAATAGCAAATTAAAAATATATATATAAAAAAATCATGGATATTAATTAAAGAATATTATTTAAATTTATTTTTTTTTTTAATAATTTTTTTTAACCTTATTTAATACTCTCAAATGTTTTTTTTATTAATTATATTTGTATTTATTAATTTTTAATAATTTATTTATTTTTATATTTTAAAGTTTAAAATTATTTTAAATTTAATTTATTATTTAGTTTTTTTTTTTAATAAGTACTATTAAAATTAGTTAAAATTTAGCATTAATACTAATAGCATTTTAATATACTTTTTATTCTATTTAAATTTAAATAAAATGATTAAAAGTTATTAAATAGTATAAAAAATGAATTCATATATCATTAGCATTACAAACTTCACAAATACAAATCTATCTTAACAAAAATTATGATTCAAGTAATTTCAAATTTACTAAACAACTTTACTTAAGATATCTTTATATATTTTATTTGACTAAAGTTTTTATATTTTATCTAAATAAAAAATTAAGAGAATTTTTTTGTAAAAATACTACTTAAAATTTTTTTATATTATTTGAAATTTACAAAATTATTGATAATTAAGCAAGCATATTATATTTGTTTTTTTTTGATATTTGAAGGCTAAGCTATTAAAATCACCTTATAGGATTTCATTAACTTAAATTAAGATTTTTGGTTCATTTTATTATATGATATATGAACTTCATTTGGTTAATTTTTATAATCAACTATCTTATTAATAAAGCAAACAATTAGGCTATAAAAATTTCTTATTTTTTTGTGTAATATCAGTCAAAAAATCTAAAATTATATTTTAGAAATGATCAAAACATAAAATTTGAAAATGATTGACATTACATAAATAATAAATTAGCCAAAAACTGTATAAAATTTTCAACATTTAAAAACTAATAAACATAAATTAATATATTAAATATAAAGATTAAGATATATGAATTATTTTTTTAAAAATAATCATATATCTGCAAGTTCCATTATATTCATTAAAAATGTTATCTAAGCCTGATCTTTATTATTAATTAATTTCAGTTTAATAAATATTAGTATTTTATGCTATTTCTTATCTATCTAAAGAAATACTATTTAAATATATTATGGTTAATTAAAAAAACTTTCTTTATAATAACTTATAATAATACTGAAAATATCTCCTTTTTAATTTATAAAGTAACTAGAGTTTACAGGAAACTTAATTCTCTGTTAATATTAAGTGATTGATTGATTATATAATAAGTCTAATTAAACTTTAAAATATATTTATGATAAATACAAATTACATTAAAATCAAAAAAAATTAATATTAATTATAAAATTTCTGAATAAAATCAAAGTTATGAGTTGAATTTTTATTATTTTTGAATATTACTTATAGAATTATTTGGGTAATAATATTTATTTTTAGTAAAAAAGTGTAATGTAATATTAATAGGTATAATAGATAAAAAAAATATCTTTTTGAAATTTGAAAGCATTATGAAATATTTGGATACATTACTATGATTACATAAATATAAAGTAGGAATTCAATATTTATAAGTAAATTTATAAAGAATAATTATTTATAGAAGTCTTAATATTTTAGCCCATTAATGTTAACAAATTAATTCTTATTGCTGTATTACGTTTCTATGACAAATGTAAACTTTAATATAATAATTGAACTTTATACAAATAATGTAAAATATGTAAATTATTAAATCATACTGTTAGACAGCTAAACAGTTTTTATTAATAAATAAATTATTTTTTTTCAAAATCTTTATATATATTTTTATTATGATATTTAGAATTAAAATGTTGAGCAATTTAATATATAATTCATCTAATATAGTGTAAAATTATAAAAATTAAAAAAACATAAAAATCTAATAAATATAAAATATTTTGTTCTTTAATAATTAGGGACCCACATAGCAAAACCTGAGGTTAGGACTGATTATGTAATTTTAAGATTTTATAATGATCATATGCCCAAAGGTCTAGCCTTTTAGAAAATAAGGTTTTTAGAGTATAATAAATAGTAAAAAAGGCTAAAATTAACTTTTTATCATTACCTTTTACTTTAAAAACTTACGTAATTTTTGCTTTTTATTCTCATTAAATAATATGGAGTATGGCATTTATTTTAATAATAATAATATAAATGAAAATATATTGGCTGCTTTAACAGAACTGAAAAATATGTTTTTTATTGAAAATTCAAATTGTAATATTGTCTGTTCTAAGCCAAAATAAACGTAAAATAAATTAAATTAAATTGTTATAATTAGGTTCAAAATTCTATAATATAATCAAATAAAATAAGACTATTTTTTTACTCACTCACTATTATTGATATTACCATTTTGTTATTATTATTTTTTTAATACTTTCAAACATTGAAATCTCAAAAAAATAAAGTTTTTAGAATGTTCATTTTTTATGAAATAATTATTAACTTTATTAAAAATATGTAATATACAAATTTTATTGTCAAATAAAAAAAATGCATGTAAAAGAAGTAAATGGAAGCTTATGTTTTCAATTATATATATGTAAAATTTCGTTTTATATTATAAAGGCTATTTTCAAAAAAATTGTTTTTTTTCGCAATGATCGTTAAAATTGATCAGTTAACTTAAACCTTGATTTTCTTAAAATTACGTAATCAACGTAATCTAGGTATTGCTATGTGGGTCTCCAATTATAATATCTTTTTTATTAATGTTATAACATATTAAATAGTCTATAAGAAATCTACAACCAATAATGAAAATAATTCACCTATAATAAAAATTTTTATTAATCTGAAACTCAATAATATATGTATTCTAAATAAGTTTATAAGATATTCAAATATATATAGGTATTAATCTAAGAATACGCTTGAATAATTAATGCATTAAGTGTAAATATAGATATGAAATTTACTGACAATGAAAATATTTTGTTATAGAAATTTTTAAGAGAGTACTTCTTTATAAATAATTATATTAAAATGAGTACTTATTATAAGAATTCAAAATCTAAAAATAAAAATAAATTTTTATTGAAATAATATAATGACGCATATATTTTAAATAGATTTATATAATTCTCTAATAATATTCAATTATATATGAATATTAATCTAAGAATTTCCTTAAATAATTAACATATTAAGTATAAATATATATATGAAATTAACTTGAAAGTTAATATAAAAATCTCTTTATAAGAATGCTTTTCACTAAGTAATCATATCACAAAATACATTTTCAATAGTTCTCTTTAAGAAATAACATTACTAGAATTTGAGAGTTTTTGAAATATAAATATAATCTTATTAGAATACAAAATTAACTTTACATTAAAGCTTTGCCTAAACAAGTATAACTTAATAAAACTTGCATTATTTTTAAAAGTTTTCTTTATAATATAAATAATATGGCTTTAATTTATGAGTTTTTATGTAAATATAAAATGTGAAATAATCTTTTATGCTAAAACTTTGTTTAAATAAGTATAAAATTCAATAATATTTGCTTTATTTTTGAAGTTCTCTTTAGAATATTATATGGTAAGAACTTGAATAATTAATTTTGAAAGTATAATTTTTCATTAAATATGTATTTTTAATAAGTAATCTATTATAGAAAAATGTAAAACCTATTATTAAATAATAAATTTCAAGATGTAAAATAAAAAAAATTTTTTTATTGATTAGAGAAGCTTTAAAACTCTAAATAATTTAATACTTGAATAATTGACATATTAAAATAAGCATGATTATAACTTATTTTTATAATTAAGTTTTTGCTACTTTGAAAAACTTTTTTTAATGATATTTTGTAAATATTATCATTATATTATAATTAGAAAAATGGTTTAATTTATTAAAATACTATGGTACATAACATCTAAAGGCATCCAAAATATAGATCA